CTTTGAAGCTTTTAATTCAGAAGCAAAGCACTCTTTATGAGTCATTCATGATTATTAATTTGTGTTGAGCTTGAGTTGAAGTGCAACCTATTCCTAAGTTACTTAAAGAAATACACTAATGAAAACCACTTCAGTATAAACAGGAGAAGAAAATGGACTGACTCCAAATGACCAATAATCCCAAATTAAAACCCAACAATGAAATTTTATAAATAACTTTTGTAATAAATGTTCAAAAATGTATCATAAAGGCATGAATAAAATACCTTTTTACTGAGTCGGGACCTTTGTGTTCCAGGTTTGAAAATGCACAGGAAAGTCTAACTCAGACTTTGAAGAAGCTTCCTCAGTGTCTTGAAACTGAACCCTAAAGTACTTTTGGGGCTGGGGGAGGGTGTGCAGGACAGATATGGGAAAGTTATGAGGAAGTGAAAAAGGGATTGCAGCCTTATTCAGCCTATGTCAATGGTGAATGTTGTCCTTTGTATTGCAAGAGTTACTGGCAACTCAGGTTACTCAGGATCAGAAAGTGCAAAAGACAATTGGTGCATAAAAGCAGTGCCAAAGTCCCCAGAAGTGCCCGCTTTGCTAGGGAGGGAGGGTGCTGCTGCAAGTGCACTGCGCAGCTTACCTAAAGTTTCTGATGCAGAACTCGTGCACAAAGGCAACTTTCCCTATAGGTCAGCTTTGTTTAAAGCCTCTATTGCTTTTTGTACAGATCGTTTTATTTCAAAAAATGAGGCTGACAGCAATAAACTCTTCTCGCTTCCTTTGAGAGCTGGAGAGAGCATCCTCCAGTTACTACAGCTGTAAGCGTGTGGAAGTGTGCACCAGCTAAACCTCTCTGGTGGTCTGGACACACCTTAATCCCCTCCCCACCTCATTCTTGCTGGCACTTGACTCTATTGTCTAAGAGGCACGAAGAACTAGCAGGGCTACAATAGAGATTTAAAGTGAAAAATAGGGAAGATTTTTTAAAATACACTCTGAAATTATAATTCAGAGCTTGCAAGATGGAAACAGATGATTGTTGTTCAGAGCCTTTAAGGCAAAAAAAAAAAAAATGTCTTTTATGGAATGGTACTTCCTTATCAAGATTAATTGCTTTCTTATAAAGTATTTGAGCCTAAAAAACTAGCCATAGTCCTGGTTGAGACTTTGTGCATACATGTGCAAGATATGGCATACTTAGTCATGATTTCGTGCATGCTTTACTTCCCCTCCCATTCTCCTTTAATAGTAGTCTGAGCTTTGGAGGAAATCTAGTTAAATTCAGATGTTAGCACGTGCATTTTCTTTCTCTTCCTGTGGTTTTATTTGTTTCAGGTAGTTGTCAAAGAGCAATGTTACTGTACTTCCTGTTTGAAGCTCTACTGACCAGTATACAGTCAACATATATAGAGGATTGATTCACCCTTATAAGGCACTTTTTCTAAAAAAAACAGCAGGCTGTTCTTAAGCTATATAATTAATATGTAGCTTTATTCTAACTGACCATTCACAGCATGCAGCATATTTCTGTTTGGATCCACTAAGATAAATGCTCTCTAGCCTGCTTTTTGCCAGTAAAAGTGAAGAGCTTGGAGGGGAGATCGGTGTCTTTTTTGGCCCTTCCACCTTTCCTACTCTATTTCCTCCAGGAAAGTTAATACTGCTTTAATTAGAAAAATTGCTGATACTGTTCAGAGAGTGTGCTCCACCCCCACTATCCATTAATGCCGTGCTTGCCCTTATTGCCTTTGTGATTGGTATTTAACAATAAGCAGCATTTCTGGGTTTTGCAATTTTGCTCTTGCAGATCAGATAACATGGAATAAACTTCAAAGCAATGAATATTACCCCATTGGTTTTCTCTTTAAATTTTAACCAATGTATCCTTTTTAATATCTTAATTTCTTCATACTATTTTAAATTTCTGTAAATGGGACAAAACTGTAGTCGTACATAAGGTGTAAAAACCTTAAAATGTGACCAAGTTGCTCAGCATGATAGTCGTGTATGTTATTTCCATGTAAACCATGCACTAAAAAAAGCTGAATTTGGAGTACAGAAAGTTTAAATGGGAAAAAAGCAAGTAGGTGTTTCACAATTTGTCACTCTGATTAACTTTCCAGTTCAGATAGAATCGGAACCTTGTCTTTTCAGCTTGAGCTGTGTGGTGTGCTGCCACCCTGAGCACCATAAACTGCACAAAGAGCAGTAACAAAGAGTGACGGAGCTCTTGTGGTGAACTGTTTTCTTAAGCCTCCGTTGTCCTCTTTACCTGGCAAGTCTGCACAGACGGACGCAGCCGGCCTTGCGAAGGCTGCCACGTGAAACGCTCCCTCCTGGGACAACATGGAGGGCGAGCTGTGAGGTGCTCCTGGCGGTGGCTGTGGGGCACAGCCCCAGCTGTGCGGGAATGCTTCCTCATGAGATTGCTCATGGGGTGATGCTACATCATACCTGACTACTGGCTGTAGGTCAGTATGGTCCCGCTTCCTTCCTTCCTTCCTTCCCTTTCCTTCCTTCAATAGTTTGAAAAAGAACAGCAGAATTTTCCCGTATCAGCCTGTGTTTTAGATCAGCAGCTTGCAGCGTAGGAAAGTCCTGGTGTGTTGCTGTTGACACTACAGTGCTGATACACCTTTTTTGCCTTCAGTTTAATGGCTTTTTCTTTTTATTTCAGTGTGGCAGATTTATACCTGCTCTTTATATTAATTTGGCCATTGTAAAAATCCTTTCTTTAGCAGAGTGGGCATGTCTAAAATTCTGGTGCTCTAACAAATACTCCTAAGCTTTTGTTTGCCATTGAGGAGGTGCAGTTACTGTCAGTTTTCTCCAGACTTCCAGATATATCCTCCCACCTCTGCTGTTTGTTTGGTTGATTTTTTTAATTAAAAGGCAACAGATTTAAATACTGGCTGGTACTGATTGCAGAACCATGAACTTAAAGGCAAACAGGGCACTGTACAGCCTATAGAAGACAATATACATTTTTAAGAATGAATGCATTACCAGAGATGATTTTCCATGATTTCTAGCTTGGCTTTGTCATTCAGCAGCTTTTCATTTCAAGGGGGAGATTGGTTTCAAAGAGAACTCTGTCTTGGAGGGCACAAGTCCTGTACACTGAGGTTGGCTGGTTGGAGGAAGTCTTCTGAACCCCTGAGTGTTTTGGAACCAGAAGAGCCTCCCAGGCTCCCATGAGGATGCACAAGCCCTCTGGTTTTGCTCCCATGGCTTCAGCTCGGCGCATAACACTGCCGGGAGCTGGAGCAGTGTCCCAGCTACCAATGAGCAAAAAAGGGCACAGTAGCAGAGGAATTTCCACGTGCGTCTTCTCTGCATGGATGTAACAGCAGGAAGAAAGCTAACCCTTTGTGAGAACATGAATTTGGTTGTTAAATGTGGACTTTGTCAGGAGGAAATTGTGAGGAAGCAATAATGCAAGTGTCAGAATTTCAGGAGCTCCAAATCAAGGTACTGGGTCTCTTGCACAGCAAGAGAAGCCCACTGCAATGTATCTGTTTATAGCTCTGACACATCACAATATATTAGACTGCAAAATGCTCTAATTTTGAGTGCTTGCTTTCTCATTTTCTCCTAATCGGGGCAGCTAGCACTGCGGGAGCATTGTCGGATTTTTGAACAACTTGTAGCCTATCTTCTCAGAAGTAAACCCACCAAGTTTTAAGGGCAGATGGGCTCTCCACAGTTACAGGACTAATACTGGCAATTGTTATGTGCTTAATAGGAGTTAACCATGTTTTAGTTAAAATTTTGTTACATATTGAATTGAGTTTAGAAAATAGTGGTATAGCATGCAAATTCTGAGACTGCAGAGAACAGTATAGTATTTTCTTATGAAGTTTTTCCGCATCTGTCCGGTTCCTGCTATTTAATGTTGCTGAAACTTTCAGTAATGAGAATAATCGAGAAAATTACATGAAGTGAAGTGAATACTCGTCTCACTTTCTCTGCAAGTGAAGTTTCTGATAAACAACCAGGGGAAAATCTCACAGGAATTTTTATTGCACATTTACTGAAAGAAAACAGATTGGAGATTAACCGATAAACATTATTTCAGCAAAGGAATGGTTGGAATCTGGAGCCTCTGTTGAGGAATTTTAGAGGTTTAAGGAAACAGTTTCAAATTGTACAAGTAATCTGCTTTGAAGCTAACTGTCTGTGAAGCAGGAGGAGTGAGTGGAATAAAAATACCTTTGAGTTGACCCAATCCAGCCATTATGCAAATTTTCCATACACAGAAATTTATTTATTTATTTGTTTCTTCAACATTTAGAAAAACACACCTTTGCTTGACACCTGTGCAACAGGGTTGTGGTTAAATACTATTTAAACCTCCCATTGTGAACGGACTGGGTAACTTTTCCATTGAGAGATGTGAAGTGTCAGTAGGCCCAGTTCCCTTAGACTGCGGAAGGCACGTAAGGGCAACTGTCACTTTCTAAATTAACATTTGAAAGTTACAAATAGATCAAACAGAGATAGCTGCAAAAAGATTGGACACCAGTTCTTGATATCACTTCATCTAACCAAAACTGGAATATGGATTTCTGTATGTACTCTTTTTGGTAGTTGCTGTGGAAATAAGCACATGGCTTGTTTGCTAATGTCTGTTCAGTCTGGTTCAAGATACTACCAAGAAATCATTGGTGTGGGTGACTGTCTAGGAGCATGAGATTCTGTATATTCTTTCTTTTTGATGTATTGTACTTGTATTTGCAGGTTCACATAACACTAAGGACCAAAGAAGCATACATAACGTTTCTGTGGTGCTGGGACCAACCTTCTGAAGGAAGACTCTAAAATAACCTTTTACCTTCAAGTTGTTTGTCCTGGGACTGACTTGCCTTTGGTGAAGAGTTCAAGAGAAAAGGTTTTTCACATTGAAGCCATTACAAATAAACCTATTTAAAGAACTTGCCACCTGGAGCAAGATTTACAGAGACTTGAGTCCTGCTTTTCTTCTGTGTTTCCACTTCAGACTGTACACAATGAGTGAGTTTTGGTTGTGCTTCAACTGCTGTATTGCAGAACAGCCTCAGCCTGTAAGTATGAATATTGGCACTGCTTTGTTTTTGTATAGTTAACTACATCATTCACATTTTCTGGCTTTCTTATGGCTGTTTAAATTAGTGCTCTTTAGCCAAGCTCAATGAGAATTAAGGTATTATTTAACATCCTGGCTTAATGATGACAAAAAAAGTCTTCTCTAGACTGTCGTCTAGTACTGTCACACGTATTTTCCTATCCTTAAGATCAGATCTATTCAAAGCCTTTCAAAAGAGCCTTTCTTTGAACTGAAGAGCAGGAGGAAGGAAGGTATGGGTGAGGAGGACTTAAACTATCATTCTAAAATAAATCATTTTTGGGTGGAGATATGTAAATGTCATGACTTCTCTGTGGCTTAAGGCCTGCCTTCAGGTGTAGCTGGACAATGGTAATGGAAGGAAATTATTCTATTAAAAATTTCAGAGTGAAATCCAGTTCTCCTCCAACTTAATTTAATTAATGATTTCTGCCTTAATTGCTTTCTTAGTTTTTAGGTGAAACCTTAGGGAAGTGAAGCAATGCAGTCGTGCTATAAATACTTTATTTTTTAAAAAAAGTAGAATTTGGAACATCTGTTGTGTGAAAAATTACATAACTAACAGTTAGATAAAAGAACATTTCAAAGCTTATGTAAGGAAGACAGAAAATACAGAAATATTCTTGAATTCCATATACTCTTAAGTAACTTCAGAGCGTGTTCCTGCGTCTGACGCTGTTGAGAGAAAGACTATCAGCATGAAGGTTGAACTAACCAGGAATATGCTTATCACTGTGAGAAAAACCATTGCATGGTGTGGCATCCAGATCAAGCTAAATGAATGTATAGAGAGGACCATCATCTTGTAAATACATGGAAAAGGGACCAGTTACTACTAAAGGATATTTGGGAATTACCGTGACCAAGAGACTCCCAGGGTGAACAGAGCAAACTCACATTAATATGCTCAGATGATAATATTTGGCTTTAAGGGAAGTCAGAGGATTAAAAAAAAACAAAATCTAATGTTAGGCATTGTCATTGCACAAAGCCTGAATGCCAGGTTGATCCTTGGATGGCAATACAAACATTGAAGTGTGGCTGTTAGTATTTTTAACAAATAAATGCAACTTCATCTCACTCTCGGTCAAACAGAGTAGTGGGAAATGAACTCTGAGACACCAACGTGGGAAGCTGCAATACCATGCAGTCCTTTAAAATGCTAGCTGCATCCGTATAGAGACAAAATTATTTGTGTAGTTTTTGCAACATACATGTCAATTAAAAATAAGGTATGGCTGTTAGAAATCTTTGAGGTAGCAAAGGGCATATTATCTTTATTTACGAGAATCTTGAAACTCATTTCCTACAAAATCTTGACTCAGGCTTTATAATACAGTTAAGTTATTGCCCAAGAAGTACACAATATGTTAATACATCGTATAGAGATCTGTGGGTCATGACTCACGGAAAGGGTGGAAAATGTACTTCAAAAGTGGAGAAAAGGGAAACAACCCATTCTGTATTGTGCTGTTGATCTGGTGATGTGCATTGGCTTAGAAAATTAAAATGACTCTTATGGTTCAGATACAAGTTGCTGAGCATTTACATAATTCCTGAAGTCTGTCTTTCAAATGCTGTAGGAGCCTTGCTTGTTAGGAAGTGCCAAATTGGTCCAGGACATACCTCAGAAAAAAAGAGTTGTGGGCCCTCCTTGGCATGCTTGACAGTACTTTGTTGTCTTTCCCCTACAGTTACTCAGCTCATTTTGCTGTTATGTCATTGTTCTGTTATGCATTGTTGCAGGAAGTGGAGTATTTAATCAGATATATCTATATCTAAGTACAGGAATGTTTTCCTCTCTGACAGGTAGCAATGCATGTACTGTCTGTGTGAGCAAACTGATCAACCACACAGGTGGTAAGGGAGCAGTTTTTCCCTGTCTCTCCATGTGTTATGTGACTGCATGTCTTGGAAACTTTGTGCTGAAAAAGGGGCTAATGGTGAGCCCCAAAATACTGGTACTTATTGCCCTACTGTATCAAAAGACCGGTGAAACATGCAAACTTGCATAAAAACTACTGGTCTGTCTCTTACTGTGCATTCTATCTGTCAGTTTGGTCCAGTCTCTCAGGAGAAATGCCTCATCTGCCTTCTTTCATTTTACCTCCTGCATCTCAGCTTCTTCATGGCCTAACAGTGTCCCAGCCATCGCTTTTTGTGTTCGGCCATTAACACATCCAGCATGCTTCTTCTGTGGGAGCACTAATGTGGTCTTGTAGCAATGCTAACAACCACCATCCCCTTAGAATAAAGTCCTTGAAAGCAGGAAGTTATTTAGTTTACTACTTGTTCTGATCAATGCTTAAAATGTTCCTTTTGTTTTTAAATTTATTTTCTCTGCAACATGATTTTTTTTCTCATTATCTTTGTCAGGTGCTGATATTTGAGACACCTTTAATGTGACAGAATAATGATACACACAACGATTGCCACATAACTTTTAAGCCTTTTCAGTGGAGGAAAAAAAAAAACTGAAACTTCTCATGGTTGCATGTTCCTGTGATATTTATAGCTTCCATTAAGCTAAGGAGTTTTCCTCCTCTTGAAATCCTGGATGCAGGAACTGTTTCTGTTGCTTTCTTCTGGCAGTATTATAGCATATTACATTAGGAATCTTCAGTATAGCATATCCATCCTTTTTAGATACAGTGCACTTAAAATGAAAAACATATATATGCACTGCATCCATTCAGTCAATTTTTTTCATAAAAGGCTATTATTCAGACTATACAGAAAGGCATTTTCTAGGTTATTTGCAATACTCTGTATACTCCTAGACTTGCATGCTGGTACTTTCCAGTGCATTTGCATAGTTTTGAACCATGTCTTTTTTAGCTAAAATTTGCAAACTTAACAACAGTGAGAACATACTAGTTACCTAATTTCACTGCCATCACTTCCCTAATAGCACACCCCAGAGCAGAACAGAAACAATGCTGCAGTTATTCATTCGTGCAGTTTAAGAGATTCCTCAATTAAAAGACAAAATTCAAGTATTACCGTCGTCTTTTATTGAAATGTATTGCAGCACAGCTTTTTGTTTTCTGTCAGTGCTAAATGGATGTAATGTGTTGTTGTGAAATAAAATACAGGTATTTTGGAAAGCAGTGTTCTATTCTCTGTCCTAATTTTATTTTGATTGCGAAGTATTTCACTTGGTGTTTCCAATTGTAGTATTTATAATAACATCATGGAAGGAACATGTTTGAATGTGAGTTTCTATGCTTCTCTGAAATAGGGTGATAAATAAAGAAATTGAGTATGCAAAGAAACAAAATTAAATAGTGATACAGTTGAAGGAAGCATGGCTTAGGCCTTGCTTCTTAATAGCCTGAGGTCTTTTCCACAGTAGAATGCAAACAAAAGCCGAGGGAAGGTGTTCTCTTACAAACTTCTGGTTTTCTCTTGTCAGATTTGGACTGATGATATATTTTATCACAATGAAGACTTCAGACAACTAGTTGCTTTAGTGTCTGTTTTTACAATACCAAGAAGGTGATATTAAACTCTTAATAACTATGTTCAGATTTTCTTGGTTGTTTAAATAGCCTGAATTCAATCTCTTATGATCTGATCCAAACCATTTTTTTTTATTATCTTGGAAGAGTAACATTTCTGTGATTGCACTGGGTTTCTTACACCTCCAACTGATAACCTTTATAGGTTCTGTAAGCTGGTCTTGCATTCCCAGTGACAAGATGAGTCTTTCTTCCTATGCTTCCTATATACTATCAACCAGTCCACTGCTACATTTCAGTAAGCTCTGCCAAATCCCAAATACCAGATGCATTGCTTAGTAACAGAAGTTTAGAGAGCCTTTTATCTTACAGGTTTTCAGAGAACATGTCTGTGATTTCTTTCTTAGCACAGCTTATCACCTATACCAGAAGGATATCTTCCCAGCTTTTTTACTTTTCCCATGTTCTGTCCATTTTTAACTTGCAAAGTTCATTTTTGGTCTGAGAAGCCTTTGGTCATGACTGGGTGCAATCCCACCTGGTTTGGTCCACCGCTCAGTATGGCTGAGCCATTCCATTTTCTTTGACCTTGCAGTTAACATTACTACTCTGCTATAAACTCTGCTCTTGGTCTGAGCTTCCCTCTCTAGTTAATTAGTTTCTGTTTTGTTGCTTGCGTCCTGTTCAGATGATTTCCATTTTGTATTTTGTTAAACTGGTCTTGTGATGTTGCTGCATGCTATGCCATATATGTTGAAAGTGATTTAGAAAGTGAAGCTTCCTTTGTGTCTTTTTTGATGTATGAAAGAGGATTGACAGATACACATTTAATGTGGAGGAGCCCATCTTCAAATGCAACCAAAAAAAAGCCCTACACATACTGCTGCAATTGTCAGTTGAACTGAATGCTACAGAAGACACAAATGATTTTGACTTTGGTTACTTAAGAAAATTAATTGCTGATGGATATTGTCAGCTGTGGCTTTTTTTCCTAGTGAGGGGTCATAGATAAAGCTAAGGGTATGTCTACCACTGCAGCTCTTAAAAACTTGAATATGATAAAGATAACAAAGATTTCGATAGGCATGACAAATGCGGGAAAAATCACCTTTGCTAGGCATGCACAGTAATTCAGGTGTTTGCTACTGAAGAAGTACTGGGCCAGGCTCCTGGTGTAGTATGGCAGTGCTGTGCTGTGCAGCCTCTGTTCCCAGATGAGTAGAACCCAGGCTTACTCATTAAATTTGATCAGCCTACTACATTCAGTAAGCCTGTGAAAGACTCAAATGTGAAAGGTGACAGCTCTAGAGAAGCCTTAGATCTCAGAATTGTCATGCTGAGTTACATATTGAGCTGCCAGTTCAGATGTTTCAAATTCCTTCATTTTCCTATTCAGGCTGTTGTAGAAGTAGCCCAAGGGAACACCTTATCAAAGGGGGCCAAGTTAAACAAGCAGCAAAATGCTTAGCTTCTGATTCTCAAATGTGATCTGTTTGTG